CCTGCCCGAAAAACTCCCCAAGTTGCTCACCTGGCCAGGCTGCCCCCCAGGCACAAGCCTGACATCCCCCAAGGGCTGCTTCAAGCCCACTTCCATGTTCTGTGTTTGTATTTGTCAGAGGTGATCTTCCAGGACCAAGGAGGCTACGGACAACGATATAGATGGTGCTGCCGGTGGTGATGGCCCCTCAGGTGACAGCAGAGGGCCAATGCCAGATGGCCCCCTTCCTCTATCTACTCTTCTGTCACTTTGTCCCTTTCTAAGACTTAAGACGATTTCATGGCCGTGGGGCTGCAGAAGAAAATCTAGCCTCATGGGACAGCGACTGAAATTGGACATTAAGTAGCCATTAAGAAAGTAAAGATATGTTTCTTACATAGCTGAGTTTTCAACCCGAAATTCGTACTCACTTCTCTGGCACAGAGAGAGTTTTTAAAAAGTTTGTCTTATAAGTTTAGTGGCTGGATGAACAAACCATTTACACGGGTTTGTCACACATTTGCTGAAGTTTTAGGGTACACCTATGGGGACTTAATTGCTGGAGTTTCAGGGGAACAATAAACATTGTCTTTGCTCCCCAAGTTTGCGACTCACTGGTAAATATTACAAAGCAACAGCCAAATGGAGATTTTTGAAAACTCAGCTTTACTGGTCAATCTAATTAAAGTATGAAGCTTAGCTCTGCAGCCACAGTCAGGGTCCCTAACACAATCTCCTTGGAGGGAACTGTCCCCCAGATGCACTTCTGTCCCAGTAACCTTCCCCATGGATGAACCCAGAACACCTGATGCTGAGTCCAGGCCACAGAGAGAAACCAAGACCCCCAGACGCAGTGAGGCTCAGCAACTCTCCCCCAACTGTCAATCAAACAGGTTCTCCCGCCCCCTGGGGGAGAAGTGAGTCCGGGGTGAGGAGACAGGCCAGGGGTGTTTCTCTAACAGCATTCTCCTCACAGAAACTTGAGACCCGGGAAATGATGACCCCTCTCTAAACTCCGAAAGTAGCTCGTTGGCCTGATGTATGATTTATGATGAATGAACTCCACTTGGCCTCCCAAAGGCCTTAATCCTCTCCTAACCCTATGACATCGGTCCTCCAGTCAGGCCTATCTGTTTGAGGAAGGATGGGGTAGGCGCCTGATGTTTCTGGTACCTTTCATAGCACAGGAGATGAAAAGAGCATTTGATTCCCTGTAACTTCCACCGCTCCTGGATCTCCAACACACATAGGACCATTCTCAGACTTAGGGCAAATGATAGCTTGGACATAGAATTAAGAGAAAATACCTGGCTAACCAGAAAACACGTGGCCACGCCTCCTCCTAGTACGTGTGTGTCTATGTGTGTGTGCACGTGCATATAGTGTGTGTATATGTGGGCATGCACTATGAATAATTTGATTTTTAAAGTCCACTGGTAGCTAACGTTGAGGTGCGTAAGAAATGGTGTGTAGAATGGCTTGTTCCTTCTCTTTCAAGAGGCTGGGTGAGCTGGTCAAACGCCACATTGGTCGTAGATGCCGAATATTTATGGGGATATTTAGAGAAGTTTGTTCAGAGGAGGTGGACAAATAAAAAAGCCACCTTGAGCTCCTTTCTTGAAGGGAGAAGAGCACCCAGCTCTAAAGTCTGTGGTCTCAGATCATCGACACATGCTCAAGTCACAAGACGGTGATCCCGCCCTCTGTCTGTCACTGACCCCCAGTACCTAGAGGGTAAAGAGCTTTCACTTTTTATCTTTGTAGCATGCGGGGATCAGGGCTTAGATTTCTTCCTAACCTGGTCTGGTTTTATGTATCAGTTAGGATGAAATGTGACTGTGAATCAAAGAAACACAAAACAACAGTAATTTAAAAAAAGATTTTATTTCTCCCTCGTCTGTATAAATTAGGGAACAGATAGTTCAAGGAGAGGATGGCAGCTTGGCTCTCAGAAATCCTCAGGAACCCAGGCTCCTTCCACTGTGTTACTCCCCAGGTGTGGCCTCCATTCACCAGTTCATCTCATGACCTAAGGTAGCTGCTCCAGCTCCAGCCATCACATCTACCTGCCAGCCAGGAAGAAGGAAGTGACCCCGAGAAGAGGGAAGGGCAGGTGCCAGCTGTCTTTTAAGGAAGGCGCCTCACAGATGCCCAATGACACTTCTGCTTCGCTGCACTGGTCGGCGGGACTTGTCAGATGAGCACACTTCACTGCACTGGGGTTTGAGAAATGGACGCTTTATTCCAAGAAACCCGGTACCAGCTAAAAATGGTCCCCAGGGAGATGTTATCAGAAGTAGCATGGATGGAGGCCGAGGGGCAGGAAACAGCAGGGTCCGGCAAAGAAAACACAAAGTGGACATGTGTCAGCTGAGGGACAATGGCCCCTGCCTTCGATTCTGGCCACTTTGCCCCATAAGATACTATCAGCAGCTTCTTTCGACCTTGTCAGCGAACACCCCAGAGGGCATCAGTCTATCAGACTCTTTCCACCCCTGGCAGTGAGAACAAGACCACAGAAAGGAAACAGGGTTTCTCCTTGCTGAGGGGAGGGTTCAGGGAAGAGCTGACATCTCAGCACCATGGTCACTTGCTTCTCTGCCTCTCCTGACTAGGTCACCCCCCCATTCTTCTGTCTTCCAGCTCTCCGCCTTCTGATACGACTCAAGTTAAATGGAGTACAGGATTTGATTAACAGCTGATCCCCCAGGAAGTCGTAATCTCCATGAGGCAGGGCCAACGTCTCTTTCTGCTCACCTCTCCTTCTCTGATCCTTCCCAGAGCCCAGCATATGCAGGGTGCTCAGTAAATACTGAATGAATGAATGAATGAATGAATGAAGTGAATGGAGGAGGTGCTAAAAGGGCCATGTAAGTTGGTCAGCTGCACAGCTAGGGTGCGTGGTTCCCACCAGTCCTCAGGGGCAGGTCCAGCTTTCTCTTCCTAGACACGTGGGGTGGCAGGGGGAGATGCAGGTAGTGACAGATTAGCTAATGTACCAGCCACGAGGGTCTGGGGACCCCAGCCTTTTCATCTTCAGAATTCCCCCCTGGAGGGGAGACGGCCCCTCTGGCAGCGGCAGCCGTAGCCCACAGCTGCTGGCCAAGGACATATGTTCTTCTCCCCTGATGTGGGGTGTGGCTTCCCAGCTGTGGACATCCACCCCAGGGGGACACCACTTTTCATAGATGAAGAAACAAAGGCTCAGAGCCTTGCTCAAGGTTACACATCTAGGGAACTTCAAATACAACATCAACGTCACAGCCAGGACTCTCCAATGTCCACAGCATCTGTGTGTAGAGGGACTGTATTTTCAGTATAAACACCTCCAGGCCTCTGGTCACTGAACAGAATGCCACGACATGGTAAACAAAGGGGTTCAGGAAACCGTTTGGTCGGCTTAGCTGTGATGCTCAATGGTAGAGTTTTATTCCAGTTAAGTTGCCCCAGTTTGGGTCAACTGAATAAACTTCTACTTGTGTCTGAGTTGGGGTGCAGGGGGGAGGTGGGGAGAGAAATACTTTGATTTCACTTCAGTTAAAAATTTGTTTGCTCTTTGGAATTGCCAAATTAATTCCACTTCTCCCCATTTTTTATTCATGTTAGGTCAACCCCAAACTCCCCCACACCTCCCCCATTCAGAAAGGGCTCAGCCTGTGGCTACAGGGTCTGATTGTCATCTCAGCCCTGACGTCTGCGCCCTAAGTGACAACAGACAGCCCAGAAACCTCCTCAGGCTTGACGCTCCTCCTTGGGGTCAGAGTTCCTCGGGTGACTTTGGAACTGAAATTTCACTGGCATGTCCTTAAAAAACCAACCAACCAAAACCCAAACCACTCCCGACAGGGGCTTGGGCTATACACAACGTGCACTGAGCGCTAAAGAAGTTATGGGGACACGTGGCAAGCCCCCCCCCGCCCCATCTCAGGGACCAGCCTGCACACCTCTCTTTCCTCAACACGTACAGAGGCGCCCTTAAGCCTCCCGTCACCCACCACACCCGACCGCAGGGGCTGGCCTGGCACAGCGGCTGACACTGACACATGTGGGCCCTCGCCCTGTGCCCGCGCCAGCTGGGGGCTGTGTGTGTGTCACTCGTGCTCCCATCCCTCTGTAGGGCCAGCACCGTGCCTGTACTGTGATGGGGAAGCAGAGGCTCAGCGGAGTGAGGCCACACGTGCCCAGGGCCACGCAGCTGGTGAGAGCAGAGCTGGGACTGGGGTCTGGACACGCCCACTTTCAGCTCCAAGGGGGAAGGAGAAAGGAATGGAGACAAGCAGTCCCCAGGGCAGGGCCTTCCTCATGCACAGGAGAGGGGTGCCCTTCTAACCCCAAATGCCTCCCAGTTTCTCTAATGGGAGCAAAACACAGGCTTCTATTGGTATTGAGCTGGTTTAAGATTGGACGGGGTGCAACTGGTTGCAGCAAGCTCAGCCTGAGGGTCTGCCAGCCAGGCCTCATAACTCAGCTTCCAAGGGGCTTGGGGTGGCGGGGGGCCTGAGCAATTACAGGTGTGTGAGAAAACACACAAAAACTGCTGCTGCCCTTTGAGCATGTCTCATGGCCTCACACCTATACGTTTCCTTACTTTTCTCCATGGTCATAACAGTCCCCCATCCATATGCACCTAAACCGTTGAGGACTTTGGGGGGGGTACTGGGAACCCCTGCTGTGCCCCCCCCCGCCCCCGTCCAGTTCCCCGCTCCCTGGCGAGGCACCTGCCCTCACTCAGTCTTTGTCCAGCCCGTGGCTTTCCAGGCAAACGTTCCCATGATGCACAACGAGCCCCTGAGCCTGAGTGAACGTGAGGGTGATGCTTGAAGTGTCCTGGCCTCCTCCGCGGCGTCTCCGAGTCCGTCCCGACAGGACGGCGACACCCCTTCCTCCTTGTGTAGTGGAAGTCACTCTTCCCATCTTAGGTAAAGCTTCACCAAAGCTCAGCCCCACGTCCCTGCTAACAAAACACGCACGTCCCCCGGTTCCCTGCCCACCATCCGTGCCCCCGAATAAACAACAGCTCGTCTGTAAGAGGTGTTTAATTTCATCTTAGTTTGCCAAGGTTAAGGAGCGGAATAAGGATCTCTACTCGTTCACCCACCCACGTCGTGTCTGCTACATCCGTCAGCGGACCTTTCCCACAGAGGCCTTTGGGGCCCCACAGCGTCTGCCCGATTCCCACTCGCCAGGCTGGTTGGGGTTTCTTGGGGGCTTGCATAAATCATACACAAGAGCACAAAATCACATAACACAGACGCTACTATAGGGGATGTGCTCCCTCTGGCCTGGCAGAGAGAGATGGGGATGAGGCGCTGTGCCCACGGCTCCGACGTCCCCAGCAGTGAGGCTGGGCCTGTCCCAGCCCCTCTCAGAATAGGCCCAGTGGCCCCGCCCTCCCCACCCCTTGGCTCTGGTTCCTCAGGCCTCCGGGCACAGAAGCAGCCCGTCCTAGCACCACCACGGGGACCAGGAGCTGGTACAGTCCCCGTGTACAATGGCAGCTGGGCCCTCTGTGCTCAGGGTCAGAGAGGCGAGCCTGAAGGAGAGGCCTCGGGTGCCCCTGGACTGTGCACCTCTGAGAGCTCCGAGAGGCTGCTCCGAAACGGACCCTTGAGAGCAGGGCTCAGCACCCTTTTGATGAGAAGAGCCAGACTGTACAGGGAGCATCCCAGGCCACACACACCCTGCTGCATGTTCTCCCTCTCTTTTCCTTTCCTTTAAAACTACGAAACCATCCTTAGCTGGTAGGCCATAAGCACAGGCCTGATGGCCGTCGCTTTCCACCCCTGGTCTGGAAGCCAGGACGCCTGGCTCCGTCCCCTCAGCCACGCCTCCTTCTGCCTGGAGGACCCTAGCATCGCCCTGGCTGCCCTGTGCTGGTGTCTGCAGCCCAGGCTTCACAGAAGGGACCTCGGCAGGCAGAGCTGCTCCCGGGGCACTGAAGCCCAGCTGCTCTGTGTCCCCAGGGGTCCTTCTTCGCCAAGTGACTGGTGTGGTTGTATTTTCAGCAGATCTCAGAGGCTAGACTCAGCCCTGTTCGCACGTCCCACAGTGAGGGGTACACACCACCAGCCTCACCCACACTTCAGATAGTTCGAGAGCAGAACTGACTTCCCTGGTGCCACAAACAACCACACGTCAGAATTTAAAAGAAAGACGAAGTCTGGGCTTTAGACTTTCTAAGAACTTGATCGGGGGTTGCTCTGTCACCCCAAGCCCAGTGGCTCTACCCCAAAGAGAGCAAAAACTCACGAGAGACGCTGCCCGTCAGAGAGTGGCTGCCCAGACCTCAGCGACACTCCCTGGCCACAGAGCCAACCCAGACCCTCGGAGCCGTGGGGCTGGAGAGAGCAGCCCCTCCACCCTGCCGACAAGTCCCTTCCAACTAAAAATAAAGTTTATAAAAGTAAATTATCTCATTTTATAACTTAAGTGCATCAAGCATTTCCTTAAATATAGCTCACACTGAAAATAAAGTCACTTTTGCTGTACAGTTGGTGTCTGTCATAGGAATACACTTTGATGATAACGTACGAAAGGCTACACACTCCCGCACACTTCTGTCTGTCTGTCCGCCTGTCTACGGGTGTACGGAGGGATAGGCGTGTGCACCTCTGGACGAGAGCTTCCCCAGAACAGTGGGAAGTTGTTAGGAGTCTCTAGGTATCTAGTCTGCGTGAGAATGTCTACAGTAAAAGTCCCTGTCCTCAGCGATAAACACGTCTTCAGACCTAACGCTAAGACTCTTATTAGCAACGTTAAACTAGACAATCGCTATGGATTCGGTCTTTGGAAATGCCCAGAGCATCATACCACAGCATCCCCAACAAAAGCCCCTCCCCAGCCCACCTCTTCCCGGCCTCCCCATCCTAAAGCCAGCGCCCCTCACAGGTATGGTGGTCCCATCCGGGAGCCTAGCCACCCGCTCTAGGGGAGGGCTCAAGAGGTGAAGTAAGAATTCTGCATGGAGTACAGGTGGTCAATGGGGTTTCCCACTCGGGGCTGCAGGGGCCCGGCTTCTGAGGTTGCTAGGAAACAGTCCCCCAGGTTACTGAGGGAGGTGTCGTCACTATCCAGGTCGTGGAAAAGGGGCTCGGCACCTGAAATGGAGATGAAACACCGGAGTGAGAGACGGGAGCAGGGCGTCGCATCAGCGCTGGGAAATTCGTATGCACCCAGCAAGTGTGACCTGGCATGTCCCCAGGTGAAGCGGGCTCCTGGGTGCTGGGGCGGGGCCGGGTGATCTACATGGAAAAGGGGGAGGGACCACAGTCGCTGTCCACACCAGGTCTCTAGTGTCCTTAGGGGCTTGTGCCTGAAGGGCAACACCTGAAAACAGTGTAAACTAGGACACGACAAAGCGCTAAATTGAGGTCAACGGAAGCAAATGCCAGCACATCGAGGGCTCCCCTAGGGCTCGGCCGCAGACGGGGTCCTGAGGAGGGAGGGTGAGAAAACGGGGCTCTGAACAGGCTCGGGAACCCTCCGGTGGGAACACGCTCAGGCGTGCTGAGCGCCGGCTGCTTGCCCGGATTTGTACGGCAGATGAGAGGGGAGGTTAGGTGCCCACTCTTGACAGCGGGGCCACTAAGGCAAGCTGGGACCACTGCGCCCGGAACCTGGAGGCACGAGCACTTCACCTCCACTTCAAGGACCTGGGAGAGGTGAAAACTGGGGTTCATCGGGCTTGTCATAGCGGCTTCAATTATTCATTTTACTAAAGGACTCATCACGGGGACCTTTATGTAACAAGGCCCCTGGGACTCTGAAGATCTAAGAATGTGCCAGAAAGTCATGTGCCCTGTTTTCCCACAGCTGAGGAGTGAGGATGGGCGCAGACGTCACACGTGTCCTCTGAGGAAGCCAAGGGGGTGGCCGCACAGGGGCAGGCGTGGCCATGTCCACGCACGCGTGACTGAGTGAGGTGGGTCTGTGCGGTCGGTCCTGCGAGGCTAGGACTCCGCCAGCATTTGGTGACACATGACATGGGGAGATGGGGAGAAGCTTTTTAAATGAAGACGAAAAAAATCTGACCAAATCTGTGAGCTGAGCTTTATGTCTGATTCCGTTTTGAAGGCTTGCTCAATACAACTTTATTTTTAGCTACCAGGGGTATTTACCAGGGGCAGATATCCTAGTAGAGACAAATGCATCGCACAGGCCATCGACTGTCTCTGGATAAAACTCTGGTGCCTGTATTTGGGGTGACTCCAGCCCTCACTGTGACCAGGCTCCAGCTGCTGTCCAGTAGCCTAAGCAGCAAGCAGGACAGGTGGGGGGAGGGTGGGGACGCAGCTCTCCACATACCAGCATTTAAAGCACCCCCACTTTGGGTGGGGTGGGCTGGGCTGGGAGGTGGTACTTTTCACTTCGCAAGTCAGTTTATGCTTCAGGGATTACATTAAGGTAGCTAACGTCTGCCCACAGCAGAGTCCAATGAGAACGTTTGTTTTCTGTGCTTTTCTATCGCTGCCTCACATGACTGTTTGCTGAGTCAGGGCCTCTGCGTGTGTCACGCTGATACTGCTTACAGACACCTAGGTGTGGCATCTGGCACGAGGGGAAGACCTGGGAAAGGTGATCACAGCGGGCAGGTCCGCACTCAGAGCACAGCCTCCTGCTTAAAACCAACAGAGAAGCAGCTGTGAAGAGGCCGTAACTGGAAGCACCACGAATGAACAGGTGCGCTGCTCTTCCTTCTGTGGCCATCAGTCAGGTGACCCCGGGGTATTCTGGGGGGTGCTGATTGTGCTCTGCAGCTTCCGGAAGCATCTGGGAATCACACAGATGTGTGCGGGAGGGAATGAGAAAGCAAGTTGTGCGAGGGCCCTGTGGGTGCCGGGCCTGTGGGCCATCGGGGGTCACCTTGAGGACAGGGACGGAGGCAGTTGACCTTGGAGAGCCTCCTCGAAATATGTCATTAAAACAAAGGTGAGCATCACGGAGTTTCCTTCTTGGTCAGTGGTGACCACAGCTGTGCGAACACAGCTGGATCATTTTACTCCCTGGGTTTTGGTTTCCTCCTTTATAGAATGGACGGGGATGAGGTGACATCAGGGTTCCCAGCCTGTGCTCTCCCGAGGGGGACCCTCTTACCATAAGGATGCATGTGGTCTCCAGGCATCTGCGGTGGGGTGAGGCCCTGCCGGAAGGGGTCCGAGCTGTAGACACTCTGCTCGATGGCTAGGAGCTGCTGTGGGGTGGGCAGGGCCGTGTAGGGGTTCATAATCCCTTCCATCCCGGCACCCCCGCCACCATTCGTCTGAGCTGTGAAACAAAGAAGACAGATCACCACACGCAGCCCGGCATCCCCCGCCGGGAGAGAGGGGCGCAGAGCATCTTCTAAACGTCACAGTCCCCACTCCAGGGTTCCCTGCCGAGCACTGGCCTTTGCTTGAGCTCTTAGAGAGAAGAGGGTGAGGGCTGCACAGCAAGCGCGGACTTGCCGTGGGGCGTGCTAGGTCCGAGAGCCCATCACTGCCTGGCCACGTGGGCCTCAAGGGGCTGCTTCAGTGTCGTCACAACATGGCAGCTCTTCCCCAGGGCGTGCAAGCCAAGAGAGCAGGAGGCAGAAACCGCCACGTCGTTCATGACCCAGACTCAGAAGTCACGCCCCAGGTCAGCCCTGCTCGGTGTCCGAGGGGGCCACACAGGGTGTGACCACCAGGTGTGTCAACACCAGGTGACGGGCATCACGGAGGGCTATCTTGGAGGGTGGTGACCACACAGCTGTGCAGCAATGGCTATATCACTTTATTTTATCTCCTGGGTCTTGGTTTCCTCATTGATAGAATGGATGGGAGTGAGGTGACATCCGTGGGTCCCAGCCTGTGCCCTATGAGGCCCTTCAGGGGGTCATATTGGAAGGCAGGGGTGGGAGCAGTTGACCCTGGAGAGCTTCCTTGAAATATATCATCAGAACAAAGGCATCTGATGCTACACACAGGTTTGCAGACACTGGAGTGGACGAATCTAAAGACCCTTCTAGCATCACCCCACTGGGAGCCCGTCAGTCGGCGAGGATAGTGACACTGGCCGGGCCTGCCTGCTGGAGCTGCTATCAAGATTCCAGGAGCACTTTGGAACTACAACTGGTGACCTGGTACACAGTTTTAGAAGAAAAGGAAGACTCAGTCCCTCGGGCCCACGGCTCGCGGTTCTCTGAACAAGGTCCCATCAGCTCCCACGCACTGCTTCCCGCCTTCTGCTTTCTTAAATCTCCCCCGGAGCTGCCCTGAGAATTCTTCAAGGTCCCAAGCACTGCGAGTTTGTGTTCTCGTGACGTCCTGATGTGCATCCCTCTCCCTTTGGGCCTGTTGGCCTTCAGGGGGCCAACTTGAGGAGTCTGAGACCCTCTTTGAAGATCTCACGGTTCTATGCAAGAGGTGTCCTTACCACACCCTAGGCACGCGTTGCCCGAGGCACAGGAGGCTCAAACACCCCGCGCTGTCTCACTGCCCTCCCAAAGCAGCTGTCCCATTCCAGTCTAACACACTGTTTGGCCTGGAGAGAAGAAGCTCAGGGAACTAACTCCTGGCTGCAAGAGTCAAGTCCTAGGCTGAGCCCAGCCCAGGTGTCAAGCATGAGGCCACGCAGGGTCCATGCAGGAGCGAGAGGCTCTGTTTAGGGGCCCGAGAACCACGGCCTCCCAGGTGTGGTCCACAGACCAGCAGCAACAGGAGTTCGTGAAAAATGCAGCATCTCAGGGCCCATCTGGCCTTAAGAACCAGAGTCTGTGCTTTACCGGATGCCAGGCGGTGCGCATGCATGCTGACGTGTGAGCGTCCCCGCCGTAGGGGGCAAACAGGCCGTTCAGGGACTATTTCTTTAAGAAGGACATTGTGCTGAGGTAGTTAGCCATGATTGTTTTGCTTTTAAGTACCTTGAAGGCTCGCACACCTGTCCTTCACCCCGTCCCCATTGCAAACAGGAGGGTACGTGCAGGCAGGGGTGAGCTGAGGCGGCGGGGCCCAGCGGTACTCAGAACCAGAGGGAGCGGTTCCGGGCCAGCTCCGTCCCTCACTCGTCCAGGGCCCGGGCAGTCTCACAGAGCCTGTTTGCTCGTCCATCCGTGAGACGGGGACGACAAGAATGTCTGCTCACCTCGGGGTGTGAAAGCACCCTGAGCTATAACGTGCTCAACCCGCCAAGCCGGGATCTGTCAGTCTACTGTCATTTTTTTTTTTTGCCAGGTTATGGAAAGGGGTAAGTCACAGTGCCGTCCTCTGTTGAGTTGAGTTGCCTGGAAGGAGGGGGGCTGGGCAGGATGACAGTCTGAGGAGATGCTGACACAGCCCCCGATGCCGCCAGGGGTCCAGCCAGCAGGCTTCACCCGGGGTGAGTGCCACCTTCCGTGGGCAGTGCTAGCCCTGCAGCCTGGCCGTCGAGCACCTGTCACAGCCCCTCCAGGCTCAGTTCTTACCGGGACGTCCCAGCTCCCACGTGGGTGTGCACTGGACCTCACAGACCTGGGCAGTGGGTGGCCGTGGCGGGAGAGGGCTGGCCCCCAGCGGGGTGGCGGGGGCAGCTGCCAGCTTACCGGAGCTCAGCCGCTGGGTGTTCTGCTGGTCTTGCTGCTGCTGCTGCTGCCGCCGGGCCAACTTCTTCATCTGATGAAGAGAGGACCACAGGGTCAGGGACGCTGCAGCAGGTGCAGGGACGGGGCTGTGCGTACGGGAGGGATCGGCTCCCTGGCTGTGACTCGCCAAGGAGCCACGCCTGAGGAACAGCGCCTGAGTCCCACAGGTCACAGCCCAGGGCTCTTTGCTTCGCCGACGTGGGAGGGCGGCTGGCTGGGCAGCAGTGGTGTCTCGGCTGGAACGAGGGGTTCCTTAGCAAACAGGACTTGCTGCTTGTGCTGTGACAGTCATACGTGAGGCACGAGTGCGGGGAGGTGGGGCCTCCAGGGGCCGCTGACCCCGTGTGACTTGGGATGAGCCAGGAGGCTGTCCGCACACACTGCCCTGCCCGCCGGCCCTCGGGCGGAGGCGCCCACCAGGAGATTCAGGCCTCCAGGTAAGGACCATGCCTCCCAACGTGCCTGGTTAGCACCCAGACGGTCAGGGTTCCATGAGATGTTAATATACTGTGTGTGTGTGTGTGTGTGTGTGTTTATATGTGTGTGAAACGTTAGGTTAAAAGAAATTCTTTACCGCAAGATTTCTCAGAGCTCCACAGGCTGCAGGTCCTCTCAAACATACTGAACCATGACAGCCTTTCGTGGAAAGGACCACGGAAGATATTCATAGGCCCTGTTCTAAGGAATCCAGTTGGGGACATGCCACCCTAACCAGTCACAATCAGACAGTGAGCTATTAACTGTCACACACTAAAGATTAGGGCTCTGATGGGCCACAGGACACGCATGATTGGGGATAAGAACATAAACAAGTCACAGACCTAAAACGAGCCAAAGCTCACGGCCGGGGAATACAGCCTCTGGAGGGCCAGAGGACAATACGGAGGTTTGGTCCTATGTCGGGCGTGGGGGAGCTCTGAGGGAGGCAGGTGAGGCACCACTGTGCCTCAGGCCAGTCCGCCATGTAGGTTTCCCTTTGAAATTCTAAAAGGACATTGGTATCTGGGTTAAACGAACATGAAAAGAACCTGCTTTATCCAAAAGACACAGAAAGACATCTATTTGTGCAGGCAGCTGGCCAGAGTCACTGGCATGGCCATTAGGAGATTAAAAGCCATTTCACTACAATAAATGCATGGCGGCTGTGGCTAAAATGATTGTTGGCAACAGAACGTTTGAATCGACAGCAGGCCTCAAGCCAGTGAGTTCCAGTGAGAACCCCTGTCAGCAAGCACGATACCCTATGGCTTCATGTCAGGACACCCGCCCACAGAGACGACAGAGTGAGGAGCAGGCTACCTTGGCTCGCTGGTTCTGGAACCACACCTGGACCACACGGACGCTCAGCCCTGTCTCCGCGGCCAGCGTCTCCCTCACCTTGAAAAAGCAGAACATTAGAAACACAGAAACATTGGAGTGTCACGGCAGGAGGTGGACGTTTCCTACACAGAGAGCATGGGGGTCACCAGGCCGCGCCTTACACAGGAGCTGGGTAGCGTCTCACGCCCAGTAACGTCCCAACCACAGACCACGGCTTCCATCAGGGAGACAGAGGGCCCTTCACAGATAAAGAGGAAGAGGAATTGGCGGTGTTTAGGGGCATACTCCAAGAGGTGTCTCTGGGCTCCTCTCACCCTGGGCATCAGGCCTTCAGGTGGTTCTCAGACATTAGCAAGGCCTGTCGTGCTCTAGCTGAACGCGTGCGCATTAGCCACCTAAGGAGAGCTGAGGGTGCCAGTCACCTGTTCAAACTAGTGTCTCTCTCTTGCTCTCTTCTCCTGTCCAAACTCATCGACCTAAATCTTTGGCTCTGTCCCTCACAGGTGACTTTGGGTATTGCGTGAATTTTTTTTTTATTACTGTTACTCTGCATGAGTCCTGCCCAAAGAGCATAAGATAGGAGCCAGGGGGAATGTTGGGGAGCAAGGCAGGGAGCTCTCGGGCAGGCACAGGCACCCCCGTCGGGCACACATGAGCACTGCGAGCCCCGTAACGAAGAGATGTGTGTACACATCCGCCCTCCACGCAGGGACACAGTGAGTGGCTGGTTAGATTCTGGGGAGCAGATAGAATGGAAGGCACACGGTGCGTGCACACCCCAGTAGGGTGAACTGGAGACATTGGGGAGTCATCGCCTCCTTCAGCCCCTTGGGCTGAGGCTCAGGAGAAGTGGGGTGATTAGACCAAATTTTTAAAGCACACCCTTCTGCTAAGTGAATTAAACAGCAGTGTGCCCGGGGGGCCCACCTCCATCCACCTGCTGAAACCCTATCCGTCCTCCGGGGGCCCAGCTCAGCAGCCACCTGTTCCACAAAGCCCTGCTGATGTCCCGGACAGCGGTGACCTTGCCGTCCCCTCAGCTCCCGCAGCCCTGGGCTGCCCGTCTGTTTCTGGTCCTCGCAGCTTTCTCCCCAGGGCTGCAGTTGTGTGTGCACAGGCTCCTCCCCGCCGGTGGTCTGGAGGTGCCGGGGACAAGCACCGGGCACAGGCCCCCAGAGCCTGCGAGTTTGGTGTGCGCACAAAAATAAGAAAATACACAAGGCAGTGGCCACAGGTCCCTGGGTAAGCCTGCTCCGGGGCTGTTTCCCTTTCTACCAGCACCTCCCCTGAAGCGAGGAAAGAGAAAGGCGGTGTGTGGTGACTCTTTCCCAAGTCAGAAGTGGCAGTGGACTATGCCATTGTTCAGCCAATGTCCCCCCTTTCCTGCCCCGCTGCCCCCATGGACGCACACCTCACGCTGGGCTCGGCCACATGACTTGTTTGGCCATGGAGTGTGAGTGGATGTGATGTGCGTGACACCCAGGAGATGCTCCCACGGCTGTGCCCAGTGTGACATGGCCTCTTGCCTCTGCCATCCTCACGCCAGCCCGCCCAGGTGGCCACTGTCTGTCGCCTGAAGGACAGACAGGTGAGCCAGGCCTGAACCTGAGCCCAGCTGGGCCGCAGCCACCGCACACCGGGAGCAGGGACCCCGTTTGTTGGGAGCCACTAAGGTTTTGTTTGTTATTGCAGCAAAAGCTGACTAATGCAGACAGGGATGCAGGAAAAAGAATGCTGATCACTTCTCAATGTATTTCCTCTGTGAATTTCAATTAAAAGGCTTTCTTATTTTTGTTGCATAAATGACAGTAACTGGCATAGGACAAGCAGTCCGTAAACGGCAGCACTTAATAAATGGACACGGCTATTTGTGGCAGAGATTGCTTATTGTCCCCAATATCCATTCTCTCTTTCCTCCTATCAGCCATCGAATCCCCGAGTTTTAGCAGGGCACATGGCCGCCCAGACAGACTCATGTCCCAGCCCCCATGGAGGCACAGCCACAGGATTAAAATTTGGCCAAAGCACATGAACGGAAGTGATGTAAGAATCCCTGGGTATCCCCTTAAAAAAGCAGCTGCTTGCCCTCCGCTCCTTCTTTCTCCACCACGGTGGCTGCAAAAAAAGGTGACAAAAGCAGCTCCGAGGGCCACGTGATGCACAGCAGAGCGCCCCGTGTCCCCAGCCTTGGACTGCTCCCCTCTGGACGGTGACATAACCGAGGAATAAGCTCCCGTCTCATTAAACCACGCTACTTTTTTTTTTTTCATGGACGTTCACAGCAGCCTGATCTGTAACAGCCCCAAACCGGAAACAGCCCAAACACCCATTGACAGGCGACTAGACCAACAAACTGTGGGACATTCAGATGGCGGAATACTGTTCAACAGCAGGAACGAAGGAACGACCCCATGGGGGAGCCCACAACCACCACCCCACGAGGAACAAACGAGACCAAACCTACCAGGTTTGTACACACTATCAGGCACTGCAGTGTTACTCTTTGTCACAGCATCACGGTCTGCACCGCACATGACACTATTATTCCCACTGCTCTCCACGAAATGAAAGGTGCAGCAAGCGGCCCACGGGAGTGGGTGTGTGTGCACAAAAGCATGGGGAGCTGCTGCTATAGCCTCAGCGATCCCCGGAGTGTCCCGCAGGGCAGAGGCCACCGGCACAGACTGTCTGAATGGCCTCCCCTGACGCCCTTACCTCAGGGGCCCATCAATACCTGCCAAGTGTGCACACAGAGAAGAGGGCCAGCCCCTCTCCGCCCCGCGCCCCTCCTGTACCTTTCTGCATGGCTTGGACGACACTTCAAACGAGGCCTTGAACGCTCTCCTCTGCTGGGTTGTCAGGATGGTTCTGGGACGTTTGGGGCGCTTATGGTCCTTGCCGTCCTCAGCAGCTCCTTTGCCTGCCCCATGGGCGGACTTGCAAAGGCTTTCTTCATCATCGCTTTTGCCTGGAAGAAGCAGGAGACAAGCTGTAGGGCCCCTCCCGCCACTCCTGGGAGCTGTGCTATTCCACAAGGCCCGTGGGTCCCCGTTCCTAGCATGGCTTTATATCCAGTGCAGCAACCTGTGTGGTACTGGCCTGAAAGCCTCCAGGAAGGGCTAAGCAAGACCCTTTCAAAATCCAAGACGGGAACCAGAGAGCCCGCCAGAGCAGCCCACCCCTTCCCCGCAGCCTGGTGTCTGGCCCCACGCTTCCTAGCAGTGTGACGTTGGGCAAGTGACTTGAGGCTCCATGACTCAATTTCCTGATCTGCAAAACCAGATATAAGAGAACCTACCTCACTGGGGTTGCTGGGAAGATTAAATGAGCTGACCAATAAGGCACTCAGAAAGCGGCCTGGCATAAAATAAGTGCTCCAAAAGTGTTGGTTTTAGTATCACGTCTTAGATGTCATTTTTCACATCTAGACCTTACTTATATTACGGGTTCGGAGGCCACAGGGGCCCTCCCTAGATGACCTGTGGGTACAGATAACTGAGAACGGACAGATAACACAGGTGGCTAGCCATAAATGCTCGTCTACGAAATAACGCTCTATTAAAGTAACTGTATTTATTTGAAGCCCTTCAACTCTCTAAGCAGTGAGCAACACAAGGGGTAAGTTTAGAAGGAAATAAAGCCTCCAGTCCGTGTCACATTCTTTCCCAGGCCGCCTCTGGCATCCCACAGACTTGACACTCCTGAGAAGGTGCCCCCAGGCTCTGCGAGATGCCATGTGGGTGACACCTCTACTCTCGGTGTTAAAAGCCAGGGCGGTTGTGTGCCCACAGCACCCTCACAAGGACCGCACTTCTGTCTGGGTCCTCACCGAGCTCAGCTGTCTTGGCGCCTCCTGTGGAAACCTCTGTCCCAAGGGTCCCCAGCTCCAGTCTCCTTCCGGCCACTTCCGGAAATCCGGGGCTAGGGGCCCACTGTGTGAGCGCCTGCCCCCTTGTTCCTCACCAGCCCTGCTCTGTAAAGGATGCCCCTTTGCATAAGCGTTGTAGTTGAGCTGCAGTTGAGCTCTACGGCTCTGCCAAAACCAAAACCCTTATTTTACCTGCAAGGACAGTGGCTGCTTCTCTCCATGAACGCTGAGACGCACAGTTTGAACAGGAAGGGACACCTACAGAAACTCCCTGAGGACATGACCCTTTCAGTGAAATTGAACAGGGTCTGATGGGCAGACCTGGGTGTCCCTCCAGCTCTGCCCTTGTTATGAGGACGGCCCAAGGCGAGTCACGTCATGTGCTGAGCCTCGGTTTCCTCATCTGCACTCCCGTGACAACTGCCACCCGGCAGGAGGCACAGCAGTAGTGCTGTCATGTGCAAAGCGAGTGCCAGGGTCCCTGCACACGGGAGGCTCTGAATGGATGCTGTGGGGAAGGTGTCTTTCACTCTGCCTCATGCCCCACCAAGGTACAAACGAAAAACCCAAAAGACTACAGAAGGCCCTCATGACAAGGAGGGGCTGCTCTCCCAGGGGGCCATTTAGCAAGCTGACCACAGACATACCTTGATCTGAAGGCGTTTGAGGATCTTTCTGGAAGGATGTTTTCAGAATGGCAAAGGAGAAAAAGCAAGCACAGAAGCACTAAAAGCCACAGGGAAATAAAAGGACCCCATAGAAGAAGCAACTGTAGTGAAACTGACCTCACAGGTCCACCCTTGCTGGGCCCGCACCCCATCGCTCAGATGCCCCAGAGCCCGGGCCTCCGCGAGGACTCCTCGCGGTCAAAGGGACACTCCTCTGGTACAGGTGGTGCCTTCAGCCACCTCTCTGACACCCCACCCCCAGGACCACACAGAGCTGCAGGGCAGGTGACCCCAGGGGGCCGAGTCTGGAGCAAACGGGTGTGAGATCCAAAGTACAGACGATGTTTTAAAATGCAACTGTAGGAATTCAGAAACCTCACGTCTTCTGCCAGTTTTGCCCCTAACTGGCAAATGTCCCATGGAGTCAGCCTGAGTCCCCACCGTGCGACGCAAACACAGGCTGATAACAAGGATGACGTAACGCATTAAAACGTCAAGTCTAATACAACGCACGATTCCATGACACCGACTCATCCATGCCAACACCCTTCAGGACAGCAACGCAATGGGTATCGCTAAGCACGGGCTCTGGCGCCACCCAGACTCAGCTGTGCATTCTCACTCTGCCAGCTATTATGTGCGATCTGGAGCACATTCTCAAGCCTCAATTTTGCTCATCGGGGAGAGCAACAGAATTAAATGAGATGGCATGTCTAGAATGTGATAGGCGCTTAGTAAACCATCATCGTTGTCGCCATCATTTCAACATCAAAGACGTACTCTTGATCGGAGACACATGTTTCCTGTTAATAACAGCTGCATATGCATGGGAGTCTGGGTTCAGGTTTTTACACGCAAGCATCCATTCCTCCCACGTTGCAGACATGGCGCTCGCCAACACCGGGAGTTGCTTTTGTAGAATGTGAGTGTGCGAGAGCCTCTGAGAAGGAAGAGAAAGAGGGGAAGGGGCCGGGGCTGGTGCCGGAAGGAAGATGCAATGGCTGAAGTTTGTTCAGAGCCGAGGGGCAGGACGGCGGAGGCCCTGGTGTCTCCTGACGGTTGTTACTGTGTCAGCCTGACATCCACACCTTCGTCATGGAGTACGGGGTGGGGGACCGTGGTCCAGGCTAGCGCTCGGCGTGCGTTTTTGGAGGATGCAGGAAGATCACAGGTGGCTGCTCATGCGTTCTCTCCACCTCCCGGTAGGAAGGTAAATGAAAACATTTGTTTTCAGAAGGGGCGGGGGTGGGGTGGGCAGGATGGGGCAAGGGAACCAGGACCAGATTGAGGCTTGTGTCTGGATGTTTCTATTGTCTTTGGGGTGCATCTGCCCCCTCTCATCCCTCCTTTCTGCCACTCAATATCTTACTCTCTCTTCTGTCTCCTCAAGTCCCCCCCCCCTTTGCCCTCCAAGAAGCGGTTCATGCTCCGGAGTAGAGAAGGGAGTCTACAAACGTTTACAGGGAAAAGCCAGAGAGTCAATCAATGTCTTACTCTCTGCAGGCCTCACGGTCTCCATCGCAGCCACCCGACTCTGCCATCGAATCAGTAAGGCAGCCGCAGATATGAACAGGCGTGGTTGTGTGTGTGCTAACGAAACTATTTCCCGAGCAGGCTGGATTCAGCCGGAATACCACAGCGCGCTGAGCCCGACTCCAGACGCCTCCTGCCCTCCTGGTCCCGTTCTTCCAGGCTCTGGCTCTGGGGGCCGGAAGCACTGCTGACTGACGCCAACGAGCCAATGATCAGCACGGCTTGATGGGTTCTCTCCCACAGTCAATAACACACTGAACAGAAAATGCCTCCAACCAACCTGTCACCAGGGTGGACTTTCAGGTGTCCCGGCAGATCTGCGCAAGACGGATCCTGAAGGTGGAGGCATGGAGAGGCCTCTAACTCCTCTAAAGTGTACCCAGATGCTGCGGCCCAGCTGCCAGGGGGGAGGCAGGCCGTCAGCGACCACCGCCTGGCTTCTGTCCTCCGTGCTGTATATATTACGGGCATGGCGGTGCCTCTGACTCCCCGGGGAGTTTCCGGCCTGCTTGGGATGTCCCCAGGCTCCCTCCGTCTCTCTCAGTGGGGGCAAGCCTGCCTGGCTCTGATCCCCGCTTTTCCATGCAAATATGCACTGCCTAACACATACACTTAGTGATCTGCCCACGAGAAGGGAAACTTCCAAGAGAGCCGGGAGGTTTCCCCCGGAACCACAGGAGTACTGGGGAGCAGGAGATGAAGAGCCACCTTCAAACGGCAGGGAGGCGGAACGGAGGGAGGCGGGGCCCCCGCTGGGGTGCCAGAAGCTCCTACGCCCAGATGCAGACCCAGCGGTCTCTCATAATTTAAGCTGACACCCCTCAGCAGAGATGAAAGAGCACCCCTCGCCATCTCCGACTGCAAATGTCAGCGTCCCTGGAAGCCATGTGGACACAAGCAAGCATCCCTCTGGCTCCTCGTGGGGAAGTCCAGAGATGACATCTCCAGCACGGGCCACCGGAGTGAAAAGAATTTGCTTGGCCCAGGGTTTGCCTACGTATCTCAGGGCCTTCCCTTCCCCTCTCTCGTACAAAAATCTGGAATGGTTCAGGGCTGTTCCTCCCCCGGCCGGTCCTCCCGCTCGTTTATGACATAAACAATCCCAGATGAAAGCCCCAGCCATGGTTTATGGCCCTGCCATGGGCTGCACCACCTGTGGGGTCTCCAAGATTCATTTCAGGTTGTTGGAAAAATCCCAGCAGCCCATAAACAGGGCAGAGATCTGAGCTTGGCCGGGAGGCGAGAGCGAGGGACGGAAGAGGCAGGAACCGGCCTCAGATGGGTCCCAGGGATGAGCTCCATAAATGTCCTGCAGGCGGGGGTGGGGGTGGTCAGAGCAAGGGTCTGGGGCTTGTCGTGGGGGGAGACGGGAGGGGAAGAAGCAAGGGAGGGATTCATGAAGACAGAATGCACAGGAAGCTCTCTCGGTCACTGCCCTGCGTCACGGGACTGAATTCCGCCCTCCCGCCCGAGCACAGCAGTGCTCAGCTCCGATGCAATTAAAACCCAATGGCAAGACGTGGATTCTCTAGAACAGCCAAGTCCCAGCAGCTACTGTTTTGAAACTGCCTTACCCGTTTTTCTTCAGGAGGTCTCAACTCAGACCCAAACCAGGTCCCTGCAAAAGATTTGACTAGAACTTGTGCATTAGGCCTTTCGCTCAATAAGCATGTGCTGTGGGCTCACGTGTCAGGTACAAGGACAGTGTGGGGTACAGGAGTGGTAACAGTCCCCTGCGCACCCCCCACTCCCCGCTTCCACAGAGATCCCAGTTCCTAGAGGAAAAAGATCCAGCACCAAAACAATAACCCTGCTCGGAGGACCTAAGAGAGCGAACTGGGGAAGGTGACAGGTGTCACTCGAATTGAAAATGAGTGACACAGAGGATGAACGGAAGCT